GCTCCGTGTCAAGGCTCCCTTCTCCTTTAAAATAGAGGCGCAACTACTAAGAGCCTCTGTTCTCCTCTAAAATAGAGGCATTCCGTCCTCCGCGACACAGACTCCGTTCTGCTCTAAAAAAGGGGCAGTAGTTCAGTTTGACGGCTCCCTTCTCCTCTAAAATAGAGGCAGTAGCTCTGTTTGAAGGCTTCGTTCTCCTCTAAAATAGTCCAGAGATTCCGTTCTGCTCTCAAGTAGAGGCAGTAGCTCAGTTTGAACGCTCCCTTCGCCTCTAAACTGGAGGGAGTAGCTCCGTGTCAAGGCTCCCTTCTCCTCTAAAATAGAGGCGCAACTACTAAGAGCCTCTGTTCTCCTCTAAAATAGAGGCATTCCGTCCTCCGCGACAGAGACTCCGTTCTGCTCTAAAAAAGAGGCAGTAGCTCAGTTTGACGGCTCCCTTCTCCTCTAAAATAGAGGCAGTAGCTCTGTTTGAAGGCTTGGTTCTCCTCTAAATAGTCCAGAGATCCCGTGCTGCTCTAAAATAGAGGCAGTAGCTCAGTTTGAAGGCTCCCTTCGCCTCTAAAATAGAGGGTGTAGCTCCGTGTCAAGGCTCCCTTCTCCTCTCCTCTAAAATAGAGGCAGTAGCTCAGTTTGAAGGCTCCCTTCTCCTCTAAAATAGAGGGAGTAGCTCCGTGTCAAGGCTCCCTTCTCCTCTAAAATAGAGGCGCAACTACTAAGAGCCTCTGTTCTCCTCTAAAATAGAGGCATTCCGTCCTCCGCGACAGAGACTCCGTTCTGCTCTAAAAAAGAGGCAGTAGCTCAGTTTGACGGCTCCCTTCTCCTCTAAAATAGAGGCAGTAGCTCTGTTTGAAGGCTTCGTTCTCCTCTAAAATAGTCCAGAGATTCCGTGCTGCTCTAAAATAGAGGCAGTAGCTCAGTTTGAAGGCTCCCTTCGCCTCTAAAATTGAGGGTGTCGCTCCGTGTCAAGGCTCCCTTCTCCTCTGCTCTAAAATAGAGGCAGTAGCTCAGTTTGAAGGCTCCTTTCTCCTCTAAAATAGAGGGAGTAGCTCCGTGTCAAGGCTCCCTTCTCCTCTAAAATAGAGGCGCAACTACTAAGAGCCTCTGTTCTCCTCTAAAATAGAGGCATTCCGTCTTCCGCGACAGAGACTCCGTGCTGCTCTAAAATAGAGGCAATCGCTCCACAGAGGCTGCGCCTGCGTCCGCTCTCTCTGTTCCTTCCCTCTCTGCTTATGACCGTTGCGTACTCTTTGTGGCAGATTCTGTTTCGAAACATCTTGGGGAATGTAGATTTGCCAACCACACCTTTTATGCCAGGATCGTCTAGCTCAGTCGGTAGAGGATACGGTCCTTAACCTGAAGGTCGAGGGTTTAACCCCGCCTCGGGCAGGAGCTGTTCTTTCCTGCTGGCTTTTGCCCGCAGAGAGAAAAGCGTTCTTGTTCTCTCTCTCTCTCTCTCTATCTCTCTCTGTCTGTCTATCCTCTAAAATAGAAAGAAGCATTCCGTCCTCCTCTACAAGAAAGGAACAGCTACTACTCCAGAGACTCCGTTCCTGAAAAATATTCCAGAGATTCCGTCCTGCTCCAAAATAAAGGGAGTAGCTCCGTGTCAAGGCTCCCTTCTCCTCTAAAATAGAGGCGCAACTACTAAGAGCCTCTGTTCTCCGCTAAAATAGAGGCATTCCGTCCTCCGCGACAGAGACTCCATTCTGCTCTACAAATGAAGCAGTAGCTCAGTTTGACGGCTCCCTTCTCCTCTAAAATAAAGCAGTAGCTCTGTTTGAAGGCTTCGTTCTCCTCTAAATAGTCCAGAGATCCCGTGCTGCTCTAAACTAGCACTAAAATAGAGGCAGTAGCTCTGTTTGAAACGCACTTCTCCTTTAAAATAGAGGCAGTAGCTCCGTTTGAAGGCTCCCTTCTCCTCTAAAATAGAAGCAGTAGCTCTATTTTAGAGGAGAAGGGAGCCGTCAAACTGAGCTACTGCCTCTATTTTAGAGCAGAACGGAGTCTCTGTCGCGGAGGACGGAATGCCTCTTTTCTGGAAGAAAACAGAGGCTCTTTGTCGTTGCGCCTCCTCTATTTTAGAGGAGAAGGGAGCCTTGACACGGAGCTACTCCCTCTATTTTAGAGGAGAAGGGAGGAGCTCTACTGCCTCTATTTTAAAGCAGAACGGAATCTCTGGACTAGTTTAGAGGAGAACGAAGCCTCCAAACAGCGCGACGGCCTCTATTTTAGAGGAGAAGGGAGCCCTCAAACTGCGCTACTGCCTCTATTTTAGAGGAGAAGGGAGCCGTCAAACTGAGCTAATGCCTCTATTTTAGAGGAGAACAGAGGCTCTTTGTCGTTGCGCCTCTATTTTAGAGGAGAAGGGAGCCTTGACACGGAGCTCCTCCCTCTATTTTAGAGGAGAAGGGAGGAGCTACTGCCTCTATTTTAAAGCAGAACGGAATCTCTGGACGAGTTTAGAGGAGAACGAAGCCTTCAACAGAGCGACGGCCTCTATTTTAGAGGAGAAGGGAGCCGTCAAACTGAGCTACTGCCTCTATTTTAGAGCAGAACGGAATCTCTGTCGCGGAGGACGGAATGCCTCTATTTTAGAGGAGAACAGAGGCTCTTTGTCGTTGCGCCTCTATTTTAGAGGAGAAGGGAGCCTTGACACGGAGCTCCTCCTTCTATTTTAGAGGAGAAGGGAGGAGCTACTGCCTCTATTTTAAAGCAGAACGGAATCTCTGGACTCGTTTAGAGGAGAACAAAGCCTTCAAACAGAGCGACGGCCTCTATTTTTAGGGGAGAAGGGAGCCGTCCACCTGAGCTATAGCTGCCTCTATTTTAGAGCAGAACGGAGTCTCTGTCGCGGAGGACGGAATACCTCTATTTTAGAGGAGAACAGAGGCTCTTTGTCGTTGCGCCTCTATTTTAGAGGAGAAGGGAGCCTTGACACGGAGCTCCTCCCTCTATTTTAGAGGAGAAGGGAGGATCTCTACTGCCTCTATTTTAAAGCAGAACGGAATCTCTGGACTAGTTTCGAGGAGAACGAAGCCTTCAAGCAGCGCTACTGCCTCTATTTTAGAGGAGACGGGAGCCCTCAAACTGAGCTAATGCATCTATTTTAGAGGAGAACAGAGGCTCTTTGTCGTTGCGCCTCTATTTTCGAGGAGAAGGGAGCCTTGACACGGAGCTACTCCCTCTATTTTAGCGGAGAAGGGAGGAGCTACCGCCTCTATTTTAAAGCCTTCAAGCAGCGCTACTGC